ATCAGCACTGTGAAACCTATCCTTCAACTTAAAGTTTCTGATGTATGATGCTGTTGAAAGTAATCATTAACTAAATACAGAATTAGTATTCTGTATATAAAGAATACTGCAAAGTGTGCTAGTATGGAGTCTATCTATGTTGATTATGCCATATGGTGTTTTTCTGCCCGAGAACAAAGTACTGCTTTGATAAGCAGTGCAGTAAATTTAATATATGCTAGTCTGCGGCAAAATGACTGAGAAATGCCATATCATTTTCAGATAACGGAAGGATAGCTGCAAGATAAAATTTGGTTCTGATAGTGAGTGTAGTATTGTTGGATACAATATTTTGACAGAATTTTATTAGGTAAGGGTACTGAGGGGTTAAAGGCAGTATATAATGTTGAAATATAGATCACCTGAGACCTAACTGAGAAATGTAAAACAAAAATTGTATTCATATAGCACCTTTCATGACCTTGGGATAACACAAAGCACTTTACGGTCAATTCAGAATAATCTCTGTTGTAAAGTAGGAACTGTGGCAGCTGATGTGACAATGAATAGAAATTCCACTCAAATGACATAGCGATAACGGCGTACCACAGATTACCCCTGTGGTTTGCTGCAAAATTATGGCATGTTATCTTTCATGTCACCTCAGAGACCTGAATTCAGCTGAAACACATGCGGAACCTTTGACTGCAGCACATCACCACCGGCACTTGAGACTCATACTAGATTTTGAACTCAAGTATTGAGCATCTGAACTATCTATATAGGTTCCATGTTCTGATGAACAGAATTAATGCAGAAAATTATACATCCTGTATGTGTACATTCTCAGTAAAGAATAGTGCTCAGTCTATCTTGATGAGTAGCATCTGTTATGGATGAAAGAATACTTAGCATGTGTTTTGATCAGCACTGTGAAACCTATCCTTCAACTTAAAGTTTCTGATGTATGGTGCTTTTGAAAGTAATCATTAACTATGTATCATCTCACATCAAATAGATTTACAGCCTGGGAACAAATTGCAGCATATTTTCACATTGTACTTTTCTTCCTTCTTGGAGATTGTATGGTTATGAGGTCTGAAACTCTTTGCCTTTATGTGTCTGAATGCAGACAGGGCCAGCTCACTTAGTCCACAGGTTGAAATCTTCCCATTTGGCAGACTGTATGCATTGATTACAGAAACATATATCATGGAAGAAGGTCATTCAGACCATGATGAATGTGCTGGCTGTTTGAAAGATGTACCTAATTAGACCCACTCCATTACTCATTCACATATCCCCCTCAATGTCTCAAACAAACACATGAATTAGGAATAGTAATAGGCCATTCAGTCCTCATGCTAGCTTTACTAATCAATATGATCATAGTTGATCTCTTAAAAGAAACAAAATATTACTGATGCTGGAAAAATCTCAACAGGTCTAGCAGCAGCTGTGCAGTTAAAATTTTGAGTCTGATAGAACTCTTCTTCAGCTGAAAAAAGACAAAGAACTGCAAATGCTGGAAATCAGAAACAGAGGTTGCTGGGAAAAACTCAGCAGGTCTGGCAGCATCTGTGGAGAGAAAGCAAAGTTAATGTTTTGGGTCCAGTGACCCTTCTTCACAATGGGTTTGAAACTGCCAGAGCTGCTGAGTCTTTCCAGCAATTTCTGTTTTTGTTTCTTCTTCAGCTTCTCTGTTTGTGTTCTGTACTTCACATTCCCACCTATCCCTGATAATCTTTGATTCCCTTGCCTGACTGGGATCCATTATCTCCTCCTTCAAAACTTTTAATGACCCCACCTCTACCACCATCTGAGGCAGAGCTTTCCAAAGTTGCATAACTCTGAGAGAAAAATATTCTCCTCATCTCTGTTCTAAAAGTCTGATCCCTAATTTTAAAACAATGCCTCCTAGTTCTGGACTCATCCATAAGAGGAAATATCCTTTCCACTTCGACTTCATAGAATCCCTATGGTGTGGAAACAGGCCCTTTGGCCCAACAAGTCCACACCAAACCTCAGAGCATCCCACCCAGACTCATCCCCCTATAACCCACCTAATCTACACATCCCTATGGGCAATTTAGCATGCCAATCCACATAGCCTACACATCTTTGGGCTGTGGGAGGAAACTGGAGCACCTGGAGGAAAACCACACAGACACAGGGAGAATGTGCAAACTTCACACAGACAGTTGCCCAAGGCTGGAATTGAACCCATGTCCCTGGCGCTGTGAGGCAGCGGTGCTAACCACTGAACCACCACGCTGCCCTTCTCAATGCTTTTTGGGATATTATACGCTACAATCGTATCCACTTTGCTGTTCTAAACTTGTGAAAATAAGCTCAGCCTGTAGAATTTTTCCTCATTAAGAAAATCTGCTAATTCCAGGTATCAATCTTGTAAATCTCTGAATTGTCTCCAATGCATTTACACGCTTCCATTGATAAGGAGCCCAAAATAATGTACAGTATTTACGATGTGGTCTAACTGATGCATTGTATAATTGAAGCATAACATCCTTACTTTTATGTTCAATTCCTCAACAATAAAGGCTAGCTTTCTTTTTGCCGTATTGATTACATGTACATGCATACCAACCTTTATGACTCCAGGACACCTAAACTGCTCAACATCTCAATTTCTCCATTTGAATAATACTCTGCATTTTTATTCTTCCTGGCAAAGTGAACAATTCATATTTTTCAGCCAGATTTTTTGCCCACTCAATTGGTCACCTAACTATACAGGTCTGCATCCTTGATAAGACATCTGGACAACATTCTTTCCCACCTATTGCTATAGCAGTTGCAAATTTAGCTTACCACACATTTATTCTCCTCATCTAAGTCAATGATAAGTATCATAAATTTGTGGGCTCAGCACATTCTGAGAATCTGAAAAAGACCTATTTGTGCATATGCTCTGTTTTCTGCCAGCCAATCAGCAATCTATCCCCTGTACCTTCTCTGAGCAATAACCTTTTATGTGAATCTTTGTCAAATGCCTCTGCAAGTCCAAGCACAGCACATCAATGGGCTCCCTTTTGTCCACAGCACAAGTTCCCCTTCAAAAACTCCAATGAATTAGTTAAACAGGATTTTCCTTTTGCACAACCATGATGACTCTTGCTGATTAGCTAAAGGTTTTTCCAAGTGCTCAGTTATAGCCTCCTTAATGATCAATTCTAACACCTTCTCCATAACATATGTCAAGCTAATTGGCCTATAATTCCCTGTTTTCTGCCTTAGAATCATAGATTCTCTACAGTAGGAAAGCTGGCCATTTAGCCCATCAAGTCCACACCGAGCCTCCAAAGAGCATCCCAATCAGACCCACCCCCACCCTATCCCTGCATTTCCCACCCGAGATAACATGGGCAATTTAGCATGGCCAATCCACCTAACCTGCACATCTTTGAACTGTGGGAGGAAACAGGAGCACCTGGAGGAAACCCGCGCAGGCAGTTGAATCTTATTCCAGTTTTGAATGGAAGGTTTACGTTTGTCACTAGGACCGGGAGACTTATCAACCTGCAGCATCATCACTTTGCTTAGTATCACTTCCTTAGTGAAGAGAACTTCATAAAGTTTCACTGTTCTTTCAACCCCCAGATTTACAGGCATTACTGGGATGTTGTTATATCATCTATAGTGAAAACAGAAATATTTATCCACGACATTCACCATTTCTTTATTATATACTGTTAATTCCTCATTGCCACCCTGTACAGGAGCAACAGTTACTTCACTTATTATTTTCCTTATTAGGGGACGCAATGGTCTAGTGATATTATTGCTGGACTGTTAATCCAGAGACCCTGATAATGTTCTGGTGACCTGGGTTCAAATTCTGCCCCCGCAGATGGTGGAATTTGACTTCAATAAATGTCTGGAATTAAGAATCTAATGATGACTGTCAATCCATTGTCAATTGTCGGGAAAAACCCATCTGGTTCACTAATGTCCCTTAGGGAAGGAAACTGCCATCCTAACCTGGTCTGGACTATATGTGACTCCAGGTTCACAGCAATGTGGTTGACTCTTGACTGCCCTCTGGATGATTAGGGATG